TTTCATCAATTTCTTCATTAATTGATAACTTGTTTGTATACAAAATTATAATTTTATTCTCTTTTTGTTGAAAAATCTTTCTTCTTGAATTATTTTATCATTTTTAAATTTAACAAATATTAGTTTTTAGCTATAAAATTTCAAACTAAACTCAATTCGGTTGCGGTTAAAAAAAAAAAAACTCAATTAGGTTTTGGAGTCAAAATTAAAGGAAAACACAAATGAATCTTCATGATAAAAAAAAAAAAAACACATTTGTATTTCCTTCAACTTTTACGTCCAAAATCTAATTGATTTTTTTTTTTAACAACGAACCTAACTAATTTTAGTTCATGCCTTTATAACTAAAAAACATATTTTTCTAATTCTTTGTCAAATATTAAAATGATAGAATAATTTGATAAAAAAGTTCTTTAGAATAAAAGAGAAAAAAATACAAATTGGTATTCGAAGACGTCATTATTTAGCAAAGAAATTGATGAAAAAGTACTTGATTAGAAGCTTTGAAAAAAATAATTTACTCAAATAAAAAAAAATTAAAATTTATATACTTCATTTAAAAAAAAATTATAATTTAGTATTATGATAATAACAAACATATCATCAATTTACAAAAAAATTGATAGAAATACTCGATTAGCAGTTTTTTAAAAAAAAGTATACTCAATTAAAAAAATAAAATTCATACGTTCAGTGAAAAAAAATTAAAAATTAATATATTCATAATGGAATTATCCCAAAATTCTTTCAAGAATGTCTTTTCCAAAGGAAGCTCCATCAATGGCTCCACAAATCCTAGGAACTCCTTAATCGAAGGTTTATTGTACAGAAAACTTTTCATATATAAATATATAATACCATCAGGTGGACTCTGAGATCTTCAGTATAGCTTCTTCTTCTTCTTCTTCTTCTTCTTCTTTTTTTTTTTTTTCTTTTTAAACAACGAGGATAGATTTTCAAATCGAATGCGATTCGAAACGTGATGCCAAATTAGAATGATGTTGTGGATGGCAAGTGTTGAATTGTTGCAGAGGATCGAAAGACCATTGGGTTTAGAAGCAATTCAGTCAATTCCAGTCCATGACTAATTTATAATATCATCGCAACTCTCGCTGGTTTTCCATCAACAATTTGTATTAATTCAGAATTCATTATTTTACTTTAAAAAATTTGTCCACGGTTGATACAAATTGGTCGTTTTGTTTTCCATCAACAAAGCTTAGGTTTGGAGCTGACGAGGCTAAAGCTCCAAGGTCAACATGAGAATTTTTCAGCCGGAACCAGGACGCAATTAAGCTCTACTAGATGAACAAGTTGGAAAACGAGTAGTTTAAAGCAAATCGAAAGTCGAAAACAAACAATGAATTATTTTCAAAAACATGCATTGCAGTATCACTAAATATTACCTCCACCATCTGATCCTCCTTTCACAATCACTGGAGAATATTAGCATTAAATTTCTTCATTATGTGGATGAGAATTTCTGCAGAGTCTGTTAGAGTTTGGGCTGAGTTAAAATATTCAAGAAAGCTTGCATTTTTTAACGTTTCATTCCCTAATCCAAATGGGACTAATTTCCCATAGAACCGGTGCTGGCCGAGAATAAAATTGAAGAAATGTAAAAGGAGTTGTACTGATTGCTAGTTCTCAAGCCATAAAGCGAAAGACATTAAAAATTTGTAATGATTTCTTCTTCTTCTTTTTTCCCTACCCTACTCTTTCTAAATATTATCTCTTGCTAATTTGAGGTTTGATCAAGTGCTCATAGTCTCATCCTAATATCAATGTGATTGTGCTAAAAAGTACCAAAATTAGGACATGGAGCATAAGATTAAGTTCATGGGATCCCATTTTACGCCTAATTTAGACAATAACAACCTACTATGGCTAGTTTGGTAGCCGCAGTGTCTTATCAAGCCACCGAGTGCTTAGAACAAATTACAAAAAACACTAAAAGAATGGTGTTTTTGCTATTGGTAGACTCGTTCCTCCACTCTTATTTTAGCTGTTTTTTTTTTCTCCGTTATAAAAGGCTTTCTCTTTACTCTTAATTACTCTCAATACTACTTAGTGAATTTATGAAATGAAAATCTATATTTGCCCTAACCGATTTCCTTTTTTATTTTTTTCATCAATCTTTTTTTTCGTCATTTCCCTTCTTCTTTTTTTCTTTGCATTATAAATAACCTTCTCTTTTGTTCTTAATTACTCTTATTGTCACTTGGATCAATGAATTTGTGAAAATCCACATTTTGTTAGAATTTATTACACTTAGAATATTTGTCATAATAGGTCTCTATTATGTGAAGTAGAGTTTGGGTAGGATGAATATTGTTTGTTGAATAAGCTTGGTAGATCACGTCCCTTAGTTTATTTCCTTAGTCGTGTCCGTTGTAAGGCTATAAATCGCCATGCTCGGGTGTGTTACTTGATAATACTCTTTAGGACCTTCTGCGTTTTTTTCTCTTAAATACAACACATTTGCCTTTCACTTACTCTCTTTTTTATTTCTCTTTTAGCTTTTTATGATCATTTCCCTTTCTTTCTAGTGATTACATTTTTTTCTCTCCTTATTTTCTTGAGAAGAGAGGAGCTTTAAAAGTAAATTATAAATTAGTCCCTCTTTCATAGGAAAATGAATTAATTAGTCCATTTGATTTCAAAAACTAATTTTTTTTCCTTTCTTGCTATTTCAATTTTTTTGACTTTTTGTTTTAAGAAATAAAAAAAAATAGATGAAACTATGAAAAAGATTGATGAGAAAAAAAGACTTTTTTGAAAATAAAAAAATAAATTAGCCTGGCTAAAAAGATTAAATAATTATTTTTTAAAATCAAAAGGATTGATTAATTCATTTCTCAAAACAAAAGGGATTAATTTATAATTTATATATCACTAAATTCACATCCGTTGCATGATATATATATATATATAGTCGTTAATAAGTTCATGTTTTGTTAGATTGCAAACAAAATGTATAGTATAATAGTCGGGACTCAAGACCTTTTTAATTTGTATTGTTGTTGCATGGGTGAGAAATTCTTGAATAAGCGTGCTCTTGATCAAGCCGTATGAATGGACATCTAACTTGCATTATAGCTAATTATTGACGAGTGTTTAGTTTAGAATTAATATTTTATTTTTATAGTGATTGTAAATTCAATACATCCTAATAATAAGATTTTTTTATTATTTTGGTTTGTTAACTATTAATTATTAATTATTAAAATTAATTATTGACTCGCCTAATAAATAATTACCTATTAAAGAGTTCTATTAACTAAAACACTAAAAACAACATCCAATTGCAATGTTCACTATCACTAATTGTACTATTTATTTTTACTATTTATTGGTATTTTTGCACTTTAGTCTCTCATGTTTTTAGTAAAAACTTTTGATCCCAAGCTTTATTTGTATTGCCACATGGTCCCTAAATGCTTATAGGAGAGGGGAGAGAGAGAGAGAGAGAGAAGCGAGGGTAATTTCCACCATATCGACCGTCAATATTACCATAAATTTGTTCGTCCTGAAAAATGGAGTCTATTGGTGATGGTTACAAGCCATGAAATGGTTTGATAATGTAGATCATGATCCGAAAATATTTTGAGTTTTTTTAGTTTGATTTGAATTTTTATGTGTTTTATGTGCATTAAAATAAATTTTGAGATTCTATAAAAGTTCTTTTTTACATTATTTTTTTGATTTAAAGTCGTTTTTGAAAAAAAAAAAAAGGACAAAATTTGGCTTTGAGGAAGTCGAAACAAAAAACAATTTTCCAATAACGTTTTCAATGAACACTAGCTCGCTAGAAATTGCGGTGTCTTTTTTTAAAAGAAAAACTTTCCCGATAGGGTTTGCTCCTTCACGTCGTGGGCGCGAGCTCGGTTCTTAGCTATGTTTCTTTGTTTATTTTCAATTCTTTTTCTAAATATTTTTAGGCAAATATTCTGGAATATCAAATGCCATTTTCTTTTTTGTTCTCGCATAGTTTGACAACAAGCAAATATATATGTCATGTTTTTATATTTTTTAAACAAACATTTATTTTAGATTAACATATTATCGTTTAAAATTATTTCTTCAATTTATCGTTTCTTATTAAGATTTTCATCAAATTAATTTTTATTTTGTTTAAGTATTATTTATTGATAAACATGATTTAGTGTTCTCTATGCATGGATTTTTAAATAAAAGTTTAGAACATGATTTTTTTAAAAAAAATAAATTTATATAATTTATATGATGAACTCTTATAATTTTTAAATGATAATAACACATATAATCTAAAAATTTAAAATATTTTTTTAGAGAATTTGTATTATATTTTTTTTTTCAAAATAATTTTTTAGTTATCAATCCATGGAGTTTTAGATTTTATTTTTAGATTATCACAAGTTTTTAGTTAAGAATCGAATAAATAAGAATAAATTTTTTTTTTTTTAGAAAATTTTTGAAAGATACAACGAATAATTAGTCAAATATAAAATTTTAATAAAAATAGTTATTATATTTTGATCGATTCACATTATAGCATAAATATTTAAATTAAAATAATTTTATATGTTTTTTTTATCCGCAACATAGCGTGGGTGAAAAACTAATCATGAAATTAAACCTTAAAGGCCATCTTTATTGGATCTCGAAACACACCTTTTTCTTGACATTTGATGTTCTTGCCCTGCTACTGCCTACTACCTTTTCAGGTCTTTCAATAAGAATGAATTATTTGATGTTCTCTTCCTTTATCATTAATTAAAAAAAAAGTAGTAAAAAAAATCTTGGAAACATCCTAGAAATCTTGCACTTTCAGTTATTATATCCCTTAATAGTCTGTACTTACTATGTTCGCCGGCTTTATATATATATATTACTGTGTCTTCGCAATTGATGTAGTAGAAACAAAACATCTTGGAAACATCCTTGAAAAGTTAGTAGCATGGCAAGCTCATAGCTAAGAGAGGAAATTATTCATAGCATCTTTGGTTTCGCCGACGAGGATGCTGGACCTAGGAGTCGGCTCAATGCCAGGACCGGGTCAAGCTGGGATTGCTGCTGGACCCAGGTGCTAGATTAGAATTTGATGACCCAAGTGTCGGGCCGATCGAAGTTACCCACCGTTTAATTATGTTTTATTTTTAATTTTTTCAAAGTAGAGATGTTCATATAATCGTATTAATAGACATGAGAGGAAATAAACAAAAATAAGAGATAAGATGAAGTAATATTAGACCATATTCGACGACCTAGAAATCAAATAGAAAAACTGGGCCAAACCCAAACAGAACCACAGAGAGAACAAAAATTTTTCCGGTAATACCCAAAAATCTCCGGATCTGAGACCGTTTCTGACGGAGCTGCATCAGATTTTATGCTGCTCGTTCGTTTCTTCTGAAAGCTAATCTTAGCCTCAGGCATTGTTTTTACTTTGTAAAACAACGAAGCACGTTTTTCCAACTTTTCTCTGTTCGGAGCCATTTTGAGAAGTTAATCAAAGTTATCTGTTTTCCTAGTCAATATAGAATAGAACAAACTTTGGAAAAAAAAAGAAAGTGTTTTCAGCGTCACAGTAAGGAAAAAACATAATCTGTCAATAACTCATAAAGCTTGAAGAACCTAAAAGCAATTTATTAGTTTCTACAAAATTTGTTATCTACAGCCGGGTAATCCCATCAGTTCACCATGAATTATTAAAATCCCACTTGTAAAGTTGATTCTATTCTGCAAAGTATCTGGCCTGGCCCTGCCAGCATTACGATAGCAAGTCAGAGGCTAATACCATCTTGTATATTTTCTTAATAATCCCTTCAATTTCAGTTGTAATTTAGTTGCCTTTGCAGTGCAAACAGCCAAGCTTCGAGGAGAATCAGCTATCTCGGCTACTTCGGGTTTCATTCCTGAATGCCCAGCACAGTATAATTTCAAGCGAACAATAGAGTCTGAACAAATCGAAGATTTCTCAGCCTTGATGCTATAGAGCGCCTGCAATTGCATTTCTTGATTTCTCAGCCTTGATGTTATAGTGCGCCTGCAATTGCATTTCTTGCTTCATTGCACAATACTGCAGCATCACTCCCTTCTATGGGTTTATGAATGATAACTTTTACAGACCCTGGATTCAATATTCGCTCCATTCCTGCAGGCATGATTTTCCCTGTTCCAATCAGGGTCATAGGTACCACGGGCACTCCAACTTTTGCAGCAACACTGAAGGCACCTTTCTGCATATTGTCAGCAACATAAAACCATGAATAACAGAAAAAACAATGGGTTCTTTTATTCATCCAGATTTCATCCAGCGCCTTTAAAACAATCATTAAAAGGACATGATATTAAAAACTCGAAGGGCACATGCAGGGGGGAATGGGTAGTAGAAAGATGCAACCTATCCAATTAGACCACTCTATATTAAGTCTTCAAGTGCTGCTTGATCATCTAGGAATTAAAGCTGCATTAGCGCATGGAATTATTGGCCTTCCTGTATTACTCCTGATAACCATAGAGTGTATGCCAGAAACAGAGAATGCATACAACACCCACCTCTAGGTGTCAGTCTCTCAAACAGAAAAGATGATGACACCTGAGGAAATTAAGATGCAGAAATGCAGCTAAAAGCTTCTAATGTGTGTCGAAGTGCATTGGTAAACCAACAGATATAGCTACAATGCAGGATTAGTGTGTCCATTTGCTGTGACTCCACTAAAAGTTTGAAAGCCTATGATCCAATAAATTGTGATGAAGGTGAAAGAGCCAAGTTCATTTCTTCATGATTCTCAACAACCAAAAACTGCACTAGTGGTTTCTCAATCTTTTGAAATAGAAGAAGTTAAACCAAATCAGCCATCAAGAAAAATAAAACATCGTGACATGATCTCACCTTGAAAGCACCTAATGTTCCATCTTTACTCCGCGTTCCCTCTGGGAAGAAAAAGACTGAGGACCCCTTCTTGAGTAGATCCATGCAACGCTTGAGACATTCCTGTATCCACATAGCCATCATAACTTTAAATCTATGTTCAACAGTGACAACTAGTTTACCAAGAACAAACGAAAGGAAATAAAATAACTATTAAGTTACCACCTAGCCCTGAAAGGGCTGAATGAACACAGCTGCATAAATACTAATAGCAACGGAGACACTACCATTTGGCTTCTACTGTCCATGCGCTTCAAGGGAATGACACCCAGCATAAACATAGCCCACCCAATAATGGGATATAGAAATATTCCGGTCTTACTGATGAACTTGAAGCTTCTGCCAAGTGTAAGAAGAGTATATATGTCTAGAAAACTCTGGTGGTTGGAAACATATACAGCAGGAACATCTGGAGGGGGCAGATTTTCCAATCCCTCAAACTCAATTTTCAGAAATGGAGCAACAGTCAGTGATGCCCAAATTTTGGCAATGAAGAATTGAGCTCTTCTTCGGGGTTGATCAAACAAGAGGACAAGAGGATGTTGTGCTATCATCAGCACAATAAGGAAAATGGCAGCAATAGCAGTAACAACATAGAAGCATATTCCTCTAACTTTTGACCCTAATTTAATATCTGCACTTTAAAGAAGTTAAAAGGAACAATGATTAGCATAAGGTTACATGTAAAATACACCAAATGACAAAAGGAATTCTTCAGAAACCTGTTAATGGATAGGAAGAATCTGGGATCCCAGTTCCAGCAAGTTCAGATCTTACAGCTACTGGTCTGGACACTTTAACTTGTTTATGGGGATTGGGTTGGTAGAACTCCTGTAAATAATAATACCATGGTACATTGACATGTTTCCTTGGAATGCAGGATCCACCATTTGGAGTAGCTGTTGAAAAAAGGTGCGAAACAAAAGGATTCAGAAGTCTGACAACACAGGAGCAATTAATTACAAGAAAAATATTGATTTTTTTTTTTTTTTTTTGAGTTTTCATTTTGTTATCTATTACTAGGTTGATCTGGAAAGGGCAAGATGTGGCTATATATGTAATCACCCAGTAGGTTAATTTTTTGTGTTAGCAATCAGCTTATTTCCAGCTTAAATGAGCTGAGACCTAAAATGATGTGTATGGGCTGCAATCTTTGGTTTGGTTAGTGCAATGTACACTATGTAACAAATTTTAAGAGCACATCAACCTATGAAAGTGATTAATATAAAGATGCTGGTGCCAGTTTCTAGGCATCTTTCTCTTGGATATTTAAACAGACAGCCATGAGCCAAGACAAATTTAAATTCTTCCTACCAGCAATAATTACGTGAAAGATGGTCAAAATTTTGTTCTCCCAATCACTAACCAACTGCAGTAAACAAGGCAGCATGGATCATGCAAGAGGGACTAATCCCCTCCGCTCTACTTTTAAGCAACATGTTATATGGAAAAGACATAGAAGCAGGTGTATTCATGGATACAGGAATCTAAAAATAAAGCATGCCAAGAAATCTTTTTTAAATTTTCATAGATGCGGTGAATATACAAATGGCTATAAACCCACTGAATCAACATTTTAGGAAAGGGAATTCGGAGACTGCCCTATTCTTCAAGTCACATTAAATGTTATAATTTTATCACTGAATTGTTGGAGTAGAGAATTTAAATGCTATGCATATTGAGCAAGCCATGAAAGAACCACAGTATAGTAGGTTATATGTAATCACCCAACAGAGACTAATTGAAATAAATGGTCATTCTACTTGGAAAGAAACATGTATACAGTAAATTTAGACAGCTAGGCGGCTACTTACAATTATATGAATTCCTCAGTACAGCTTGTTTATATGTAGAACACCCAACAAATGGTTCTTTATGAACACGGAACTGCATTAAGGAAAACATACTAAATAAAGTCCAGAAACAAAGTTTAACAGGATAAAAGGGCAAAGGAAATTCTTCCAATACATAAACCCCATCTATGAATTTTAAACCAGTGTACATAAAGACAGGCAAAAGGCTCAGATAGAGACAAGAGCGTATAGAGTGAGAAGAAGCAAGTGGGGTCGCAAAATTCCAGAAGAAGAAATCTAACATCATAATCTTGAAAAGAAAAAAGAAAAGAGAGAGAGAGCATATCAATTGATAGAAAGTATGGAAAATCAGAAATGGAGGTTTAGATATAACAGGAGAATGCAGCTTCAAATTTCATCAACAGTCGATTTAACTCAAATTTGTTAGCAGCACATGTATGCGTAGGATTCCACGGATATGTCACCCCTACACATTGCCATAACTCAATCCAAACCCCTTCAACTCATTGACCCATCGGGATCACTCTATAATCTAGCAACCACAAAAAAATAAGAAGCTACTGGCAACAGTTCATACATGTTGACCTGAAGGCTATCAAATGACAGTGTCTTCGAAACAGAACCAAGGCATTATGCTACGGGCACAACCCCTTCTGTACAATCGAAAAGCTTAATCTAACTGATTGGCCCCAACACCCCAGTAATCAAGACCATATACTCAAAGTAGAAAATCATTAGACAAATGAGAAGCATCGGGATATACCCTTTCCGCACTAGTAAATAGGAGCAAACACATCCTATCACTGCATCAAAATTTAACCCGTAATAACTGGAATGAAGCACCATTAGGCTACTAAGAAAACATGTCAAACCATTGATTAAACAAACAAATAAAAGAAGAAGAAGGAGGAGGAAGTGGAGAGTAATACCTGCAATAGAGACGGTCGAGAAATGTTGCTCGATCGTTTATACCCTGCAGAAATTTTATGATTGAAACAAATGTAAATGTAAATTAAATTAAATTAAAAAAAAAACTTGGAAAAAGAGAGTAGAGTGGAATAATACTAAAATAGTAGTAATAATATAGATAAAATGCAAGTAAGAGAAATTGAGAGATTACGTACTGAGACGAAGAGGAAAATGGAAAGCGTGAGATTGAGACTGAGAAGCGACGATTTCCATTGTATTATTGTTTAATATTTGTATCTATCAGTATCATTGTTATTAAATTTCTTCATTCACTTTCTTTTGGGGTTTTAGGGTTAACTGGATTGGGAGGGAAGAGGAAATTAATTGCTCATTTCGAGGTAACGAATATTCGTTATCCTGGTCTTATTATTATTGTTATTATTATTACAACTGCAGATTAGTCTCAAACCTATGTATTCATTAACATATCAGTCTCTAATCTTCAAAATGTTGCTAATTTATTACTTTTTTTTTTTTTTTTGGTCTAACAAATTTCTCCCAATCTGCTTAGATTAAATCTATATAAATTTTTAGTTCAAGAGTATATGATTAATAAAAGTTATAAATATTTTTAAATATATAAAATAAATTACATCTGCTTGATTTTTTTATTATATATATTTTTTAATAACTAAACACATTTGTTGCATACATTGAATGAAAATATTTTGATCAATTTACGTATATATAAATATTTATCTCTGAATAAAAAAGTAAATCACATAACTCGTTTATGACCTATGACCAAATTCAAATTTTATATAAACAAAATATCCCGGGTTAAAAAAATGATAAAAAAGAAAGTGTCCTTTTTTTCAAAAAGTTGCTGTAATATGTTATAATGTTCTCTTTGCAAATTCTTCATTTATGTACGTTTTGGTCCCTAAAATTTTTGAAATGATACAATAATAGCAAAAATATAACGTACATGGATCATATTAAGATAAAAAAATAATAAAAGCATCTTTTAGATATAAAAAGAAGACTAAAGATGTATAGAGACATCTTTTAAATACAAAAAGAGTTTAAAGATGTAGAGAGACATTAACCCTTCTTAACGATGCAAAGTAATTAACTTGAGAAAGCAAGTTGATTTCTCTATCAAATTGTGAAAAAGTGGAAGGTACAGGGTAAAGCAAATGGTAAGAAATGAAATCCTCGCCTAGAATTGCTTGATGGGTGATGGGTGATGGGTGGGAGACAGTCATAGCCAGTGGAAAAGTGGAAGGAAGCCAGCTGTGAAGTTATTGGAGAAGACGAGTCGCGAAGAGATGGTCTTGTAAAAATCAAATCAAAGTTTTGTAAAAATCCTCCAACTACAGAGATAGTCTTGATTTAGTCCTCAAAGATTTTTGTCTCAAAGTTTTGTGATCATAAATGAACTAATGGCCAGTACCAAAGGGAACAATTTTAACTAGCTGGTTCGATTTTGTAGCCTGCATCCCAGAGAGAATTTGTAATATTTTTAACACCACCTTCTACATATGTGTCACTTGGCTGAAAAGTAATGAGGTTTTCATCCCTTTGTCCCGTCGGAATTGCAAATAATTGGTCTGTAGGAGTTAGGGTTTGAAGGAGGAGGAGAAAAAAGAACCCTTTTTTTCCAGCCAGGCAATTTTATTGTGCTATTTAATTGATTACATATTAGTAAATTAAAGATCAAATCAGATGAAATACACACACGTGATACATCTGGAAATGCTCCCTTGTAAAAAGAAAATGAAGAACAAATTAACAGAGTGCATTCACACAAGAAAACAGTAATTAATTGTTTTCATGCAGAATCTTATTTCCTCTGAATCATTTAAGTTCATACAAGGATTGAAGAAACAAAATCAACAAGACACAGCAAAAGAATAACTTGGAATGAAGGAAAAATTTTAGGAAAAAAACAAATTAAAGATCTAGATCGTGCTAAAAAGTAAATAGAAGTAAAGGAATCTAGTTGCGAGGATGGGTGTTAGATGGGTTAGCGACACCAGCTGTGACTTTGGCAACATCTAATGCGGACGCTTCAGGCTTTTTCTTGGTGTACAAAACAAAGTAGCCTATAGTGGCAACAACAGCAACACCACCAATGGCCATTTTCATTGGACACAGAGACACTTTGCGACGCTGGTGAAGCACCTCTGTTGCATGCTGTGCTGCTTGATCCGACCCTGCCATGTTTCTCTTGATTATCTTTGTTGCTTTCTTTTCTTTTTTTCTTTTTTTCTGTTTTTGCTCGTGGAAACTTTTTAACTTCTGTTCGGTTATTTGCTGTGGATGTCGAAAGATTTTAGACAAGGAAAGAGGACGAACATGAGGGTGGTAAAAAAGATAGGAGGCAAGAGTAAAGGGTAGAGGGACACGTTGAGTTGAAAATTTCAGTGTTGTCGACACGTGGCATCGACCATTATGACAGTCAATTTCTGTGTGAAAATATGCAATAGAATAGTGCGTGACAGAAGGGTGCTGAGATTACAATGTCAACCTATGAAGTTGACATTTTCTTTTTGGACTTCATAATCTCTTTATTATTATTTATGTGCTCAACGGTTATATCAGAGTTAGACATAACTTGTCCTCCAATGCTCATCCATGGTTCATGTAAACACTACATAGAGTCTGAAAAGCAAAAGGAAAAAAAATTGGAGTCTTTATAGAAATCCTAGTTAATAGCAGTACTTTTGACCAGTGAATAGAACCAGAAATAGTTTGATCCAATCTCAAGAAAACTGCTGCTATTTCGTCAAAGAATATATGCATTGTCTTTCCTTCCCATATTTTACATGCACTTCACAGCGTAAAAGAGGTGAGGAGTGAAAAAAAAAACCTTAAACAACCATTTCAGCTTCTTTAACACTGGAAGGGATCCCAATGTCCAACCTCATGGTAGATTTGTACTGGTCTGGTACAGCAGCTCCAGCCTGAACGCAAATTTCCACAACAGCAGGGGCTTGTCCGTAGAAGTTCCTCAACTCCCTTCGCATTGGCAACCCATCCATATCAGGAACATGCCAAACATATCTTGGCGGTATCAAGTCATCGAGCACAGCAGACTGCCAACCATGCTGTCCATTCCGTTGTTGGTGCTTGTGGGCCCCACAGTCCTGTGCCTTGTGCCCAGTAGGTCCCACATGCACCTCCGGGCAATATCCACAGACTCTAACGTGGTACATCTGCATCAATCTCTTGGCTCCTTTCCTCATCTTTTCCCATGCTTGTAGTGTTTCCTCTGCAAGCAAGGTTTTCTCCTCTTCATTAGTTGGAGCTACTGCTTTTGAGATGGGTATTTCGGTTAATAACGGCTTTAGAGGACCTTCAGGTGCAGGGTCTGGTAAGTCACTTTCATCTGCATCAACAAATTCCCTTCTTCCGATGCGAATAATTGGTTTTCTTCTCCTTTTTGTTGGATATTCAGGAATGTAAACACCAGCTTGGATACAGAGCTCCATTACAGCAGGAATTCGGGGAATTGAAAATCTCTCGGCATGTGTAATTCGTTTTCCAAGGCGGTCATAAAGGTGGTAGGCCTCTATTGGGACAAGTACATCTTCGATGGCTGCATTTGTCCACTGATGAAGGCCCTTGCGGAGGGTAGCATGTTTGCCTTTACATGACTTGAATGGATGCCCTTCAGGTCCCACATGGAGTTCATTACACCACCTGCAAAAGGTAGACAGTAAACACTATAATATAGCAACCTTCAAACCATGAGGCGAAAGGTAAAAAGCCATATTCAGCAAGAAGGTTGAATTCTGACCCATGATAATTCTTTATCCAACTAACTTGAATGTACATATGCACAGTAAAGGAAAGAGTTCTTTGTTTCACACTGTTACCAACCAATTGTATGCAGTAACAAAAACAACTTATCAAAATTCACTATTACCATGCCTGCAAAGAACAAAATTCAAGATGCTTCATATGCATGGCAAAACTCCAAACAAAAGTTCACTTATACAACTCCCCTGTATCTCTTTATATCATTTATTTCTCAACTGCCACCGAGAGTAGATGATGATTATCATAGGACGAGGTCAACTTCTGCACATCATGAACATTGACAAGCAATAACATCTCATTTAGATGCGGTCGTCTATAAAAGGGCCAACAGAGACAGTATATGACACGTGAACCATATATTTTTCTCCAGAAGTTTATGGAAGGAACGGTATGAGTAACCAGAAATTTTTAGCCAAACACAATATTGCTCAACACGGCTAAACTAGTGCGCATGGAAGAGCAACAAAAAACATTCCATTAAAATACACATGCTTCTGCAAATAATGATTGACTGGATTACAAGATCATAACCAAGCACCATGCTTTTTCAGAGGTGAAGAAAGGAAGAAAATTACCCACAAGCATGCACAGGAACCACTTTTAACAGTTTCTTGAGATTGTTAATCAATGTGATCCTTGCATTGAATACATCATAAGCAAGTGGTACAAGGCATTGAACGATCAACCCATTCTTTGGAGGTGGTACACGTCCTTTAGGTTGGCCTTTACTCTTCTTGACCCTCTCCCTTGCAGCTCGTCTCAACTCAACTATGGGTATTGGAAAGGGCTTCTTCTCCTTTCTTGAATAATGCCGAGGAAAATCAGCATTTTGAGGATATTCGTTCGTGATAACCAGTGCATGTGGTTCGTGCAACTTTCTTGGTATAATTCTAGACTTTAACGAACTCCTAAGTTTGAGATTGCTATGCTGCAGAAGGGAAGAAATAAAGTTCGTTTCAACAGGTATGAGATACATAAAAAACAAAATATTGACTTTGGCATTATAGTTATACAGTGAGCATAAAGATGACAGATTGAAAAATCGAGTGTGCAACATACTCAAGAAACAATGTTTAAGGTCAAAATTGATGTAAAACTTTCTAGCACAATACAAGTAGTGTTTATTGCCGTAGCCTTCATAGTGCTGATGGCTACCAGAACTCAGAAGCAATGGCATACAAACTATGGCTGGAGTGGAAACCTGATGGTTCAGTTCAAGTTGATCTAAGTTATTTTACCAGTCAGTTGGATGGCACATTCTTTGATAGTTTTGTTCCTCAGGACCTCAGGTGCAAGTGTGCTTGATCAAAAGCACCATCTGGAGCCTTTATTGTTAAAGTTTCAATCACAGTATCAATATGGAAATTAGTATCAATCGATGCATAGGTTTCATCCACCGAAAGACATAATTGATTCAAGTTGAAGTTGCCGAGGCCCATAACTTATATGGTCACATTTTTCCGTCAATAGAGACTAAGAATATATGTCCAACATGTAACAATTGATCTAGAAGAATTTTAACTGCAGAAGATGAAATCATTAATGTTCTCAAGCAAGTGGCAATGCAAGCAAAAATGATACCTCAATCGCTTTTGTTTGCAGTGTTAACCACCAATGCAATCAATTATGCGAATTATCACAAGAAACAAAAAAAATAAACAAAGCCACGCCTAGCAAAAACTGAATTGAGGGAGTGACAACTGAGATCACCGCAAAGTAAAATTCAACCTAAACTGCTCCTAGAATTTTCGAACTCATGCGCAATCAATTACACTGCACTCACTACACACAAAACTCAAAAAAATTAATGGCACACAAAACTGTAATAAAAAATTAACTCCCAAAAATCAACAAGACAAGCCTCTTCTCATACATTTCAAGCAAGTTAAACACAGGTTTCTGATGAGCAAGAAAAACCAACAAGCTAGAAGAAACACAATAGCCTAATGAAATTAAGATTTAACTAAACAATACAAAGAGTCAAACACATCATCATTTTTCACTTCAAAGAATAGAAAGACCCAATACCATAAAGTAGCCAGTGATTACAGATTGTAACTCAAACCCAGATTAGAAAAAGCATGAACAAGTCATTACAGCTTCATCATACCAGAAAAGAATGGAAGGAGCTAAGTTTGAGAAATTCTGATCTTTGGTGATAAGAAACAATGAAAGGCTCCATTTTGTGAGAGGAAGAACTCAATTTAGAATGATAAAAAGCCATGGCGCATAAAGGGTAGTTAGAAGAAGACCCGGAATCTGTCCCTGAAACCATGTTTGCCAACAAAATTTATTCAACCCGAAATAAAAAGAAAAAGAAAAATATTATATAAAACTTTGAAGCCGGAGAAGAAGATAAGTGTACTTACATGTTGCAACTGAAGAGGAAATTAACATTATTATGGAGGGGGAGACAAGGAATCAGACGAAAATTTGGGTGCTTTAAGCCATTGCCAACAAAGAAGAGGAACTGCTGGCTAGCTCTTAACCAAAAGCTCTGTCCAGCAAAAATCATAGAAGATATGGAAGATGATGATTTAAATGGGCTTTTTAATATCCAAAAATAGCCCACTTCCATATCTGATCTACAGATTAATGTTAATGGGCCAGATAAATACAGTGGAGAAGCTTGTATTAATTCATGCGGGCTAGATAAGGCCCGGGACATGATCAAAGAAACAAGCAAATTCTTGTTTCAAAGTACATTAGGAGGATCTACTAAATCAACCAACCGTAAAAACTGTTAAAAAAATATTAATTGTTAAGTAAATAATTAAAAGCTATTAAATATATGTACCTTTCTTTCTTAACTTTTTCCCTTTTCATGATAAAGTTTTCTTGTTTTATAATCAAAGCATCCTATTTTCTTGGCTAAATAATTAATTGTATCTACACACCCATGACATTATTATCATTTGCCATGTATTAGGTTAGAGGAAGGATTGCCCTTTTCTATTTTGTTAACATATTTGTTATACTTATATTAATTTTTCCCTTATCATAAAAACATAACCTAATTCTTTACTTAATATGATAACATAGTTTTATCTTCTTCTTGTACCATTTTTCTTTTATCTCCAGTGGTATCACAAATCTAAAGTTCTAGACTTATCATTTGCTATTCGATCGGTCGCACTAACCGGACGTAGCTATCCAAAAAAAATTTTACGTTTACAAAAACTTCAAATCAAAACTACTTATTTAAACGATTAGAGTTCATTCCATTCACTCCAACCATCTTCGGTTCATGTATCATTTTTTAATTCGTACATTTTTCATCTCTTCTAGTCTTCCTTGACTTTTTTATCATTCCTTTTACGTTTGATTTTTTTTCCTTCTTTTTATGCAACTATAGTAAAAAAAGAAAAAGGTTTTATATATTTGGATAAATAAAATTGAAATACTAACCAATAATTAATTGATTTGTTATACATAGTTAATTGGAACTTTTAATATTATTACTTATAAACTAAACCGCGTGAGGAGTTCACTATTCAAATGAACTCCTCACATATTGTTCATTTGAAGAGTAATCATTTTTTTTTTTTTACCCTCACATTATACAGACTACTCAATATTAGTTTTTTTTCTTTTTTTTTTATTTTTATTTTCACTCTTTTTATTTTCTTAGTTTTTATTTTTTATTTTTACGTTGTTATTATTATTATTATTATTATTATTATTATTATTTTGTAATTTTCACTCTTAGTTTTTTTTCCCTAGGTTTTTTTTTTTATTTTTGAAATTATTTCATTTTGATCCCTAAATTTTTAAAATGAAAATTTTAATCCCTAGGTGATACATTATATATCTTTTTTTTTTTTTTTTTTTACTTTTTTCATCAATTTATGTTATTTTTTTTATTTAATTGAGCGTTAAGATTTTAAAAAATCGATCGTTATTTTTTTCACACTATACTACTCAATGTTAGTTTTTTTTTTTCCTTTTTTTTGTTAATTTTCACTCTTAGTTTTTTTTGTTAATTTTTTTTTAAAAAAATTCAAATTATTTCATTTTGATCCCTAAAATTTTAAAATAAAAATTTTAATCCCTAGATGATGCATTATATATCTTTTCTTTTTTTCTTTGGTTTTTTTTTCTTTTTTCAATTAATTTATGTTCTTTTTTATTTCATTGAGGGTTAAAATTTTTAAAAATTGATTGTTTTTTTTCACACAAGTTGATAATTATATAATATATATAGATCAAATGTATATACTTTAAAAATCACTCCCTCACACTCGTACTATTCATTTATTTTATTTTATTTTATTGTTTCTACCCTCACAATGTACCATTCACTCTTACCTTCTTTTTTTTAAAACTATTTTTTTTTAATTTTTTTTTTGTAATTTTCACTTTTAGTTTTTTTTCCTATCAGTTTCAAATTATTTCGTTTTGATCCTCAAAATTTTAAAATAAAAATTTTAATCCTTATCCGATGCACTACATGCCTTTTCTTTTTCTTTACTTTTTTCATTAATTTATGTTTTTTATTTAATAGGATGTTAAACTTTTTAAAAATTAATCGTTGCTTTTTTTACATAAACCGATGATTATATATATATACTCTTAAAAAAGTCTTCTCATCAACATTAAATAAGAATAAAATTTTATTTTTTCAACTGGTTAATTTTTATGCAAGTCTATATATTGATTATAAATTTATTTTTTTATATATATTCTTATAAAACAATATATTTTTAAAGTTTTTGTTTTTATGGCAATACTCGTTGTCCCGCTCACAATATGTTATTCACTTTTTTTTTGTTTGTTGTTTTTTTACCTTCGTAATGTACTATTAACTCCTCTCTTTTTTTACCCTTACAATGTAATTTTCACTCTTAGGTTTTTTTTTTTTAATTTTCAAATTATTTCGTTTTGATCCTTAAAAGTTTAAAATAAAAATTTTAATCCCTATCTCGTTGCACTACATATCATTTTTTTTTTTTTGGTTTGTTCGTTGTTTTTTCCCATCAATTTATATTCTTTTTTTTATTTAATTGGGTGTTAAAATTTTTAAAAATCAATTGTTACTTTTTTTCACACAAACCGATGATTGTATAATATGTATAGATCAAATATATATATTTTTAAAAAATAATATTTTCATCAATATTAAATAAAAATAAATTTTTATTTTTTATTAGTTAATTTTTATGCAAGTGTATACATTAGTTGTAACTTTGTTTTGTGGATATATTCTTATAAAACAATATATTTTTAAAGTGTTTATTTTTAAATTCTTAATTAACATTTTAGATTTAAATTATATATTACAAGTTTTTATTTAGGAATCCATAAATAAAGACAAATAAATCAATTTTTAAGCAAAAATTATATGAAAAAAAAGTAATAAGTAAATAAAAATTAATTATAAAATTTTGAAATGATTTTGTTCTATCTACCTTTTGCTTTGTGTAGATAATTTCAAAAATAAATCTTCTGATCAGCATTAAAAAGATTTTTTTTTCCATTTGTTATTTTTTATTAAAGTCTATTTATTAATTATAACTTTATTTTTTAATACAATATTATGAAAAATATATTTTTAAAGTTTTTTAATTCTTGATTAATATTTTCGTTAAAATCAATCTATAAAGAAGAATGATTTATGTTTTTTAAAGTAAAAAATTTATTAAAAAAATAAAATATGAAATTATATTTAATAAATTTTAAAATGATTTTGTTCAATCAAATCTGCAGCAGTAGCGCAAGCAACTGACTAGTAATTATCTAAATTGGATTTGGTGCTTTGTGAGAAGAAATGGTGCCTCAACCTATGTACATAGACTAATATTATGCATTACTATTACCACAAATTAAGGACTTAATCATCAACTAGTTGAAACAATTGGATAATGACCAGTCCCGAACTTTGACATGTCTTCTCCCTCTGTACTTTTCAAAAAAGGAAGAAAGAATGTATAATGGCCTGTGTCGATCTGTGCGTGATTAATGTTTGCATTATGAAAAGGAAATTAAGGAAGGCACCACCTGTCACAAGAGGCATCCTACCAAATTTGATTAGGTTTACAACGAAAATGACAACTGTACCATAGTCTGATTTAAAAATTGAGGTTGAAAATCTTAATTGGTATTTAAATCGGAAGTTGCAATTTCTATTGTTTTATTCATAGTTAATAAATTTTATTAACCGGTTAATTACCAACATAATGTTGTGGTTTATTATTAAAAATATAATAATTTTTATTTACTAAAACATATATAGAGATTCAATTTAATAAATCAATGGATAGCACTACATGTAATTGGAAAAATGAAAAAAAAATTGTACACTATTTCTAATTAAAAATGAGCGGATATGAATTCTCAAACAAAACAATTAACCCTTAAATAAGATTTATAAAGAAACAGAGAGGTAAATATGTATATCCATAGAATATAGATATATTCTCAAATAAAATATTATATTAAATTGTATATCAAAGAAAATTTATAAAAAAAAAAAAAGGTAGAAAGCATACTTAAAAAAATGGTATTTATAAATGGTAGTTATAAAGTAGAGAATATATATATATATATAAAGTTTATTCAAATTAAAAGACCAATTAATTTGTTCCCTCAAATCAAACTCTCTCCCAATTCTTTTCACTGAGACAGTTGTCTTTAATTTTTTTTTCCCATCAAATTGTCTTTAATTAGTTGACCAGCAAATTCAAAATTCAATTAATTGCCATATTAACAGATATTAATTCTTCCATATAAATATATCTAGCCATAATATTTTCTATAACTATGCCATTATTAAACTATCATAATTATTTTTTTTTAATTATTGTAATTATTTTTCCATCCAAATGTGATCTCCTTAGACAACCACTCATCTTCATCACTCAAAAATCCCAACCGATTTGAATTATAAAAAAGCCAACACTTTTTCATCTCTTTCTCAAAGCAGCGGACTGCATCATGCAGAATCAACAAATAAAAATCAAATGCTAGAAGATAGTCGCAAATGGTGGAAGGTTCAAGTTAAGGAAACGAGAAGAGAATCAATTCCATATATAGGAGCACAACTTACATCCATAACCAAATCAGAAATGCAAATGTTAAGCATAATTAATTAATTACAAGACAGAATTCATCCCTCCCTCTCAGACCAAAACCATACCAATCAAAGTTCCTAACCCCAACAAAGCACCCAAGATTCCACCCTTTAATCCATGAGCATCAGCAGTTATCCCTGCAGGTGCAGATGCAGATGCAGGTACTGAAGCTGGATTGTTGTTATCTCTATGCCAATGAATCTCAGACAAAACAACTACTTCTAGCTTTTCTCCTTTCTCACAGTTGCCTTTAGCTCCACTAATGAAGTAGAACGGTCCTGAATGGTTCAACTCTATCTTGGTGTTGTTTTCTTTGCATTCTTTTATTGGTTTTGATGTATTGCAGCAATCATAGTCCTCCTTCGTCACTTCCAGCACCGAGTCCTTTTTAGGATCATATTTCCATACTACAAAAAAAAAAAAAAAAAAAAAACAAAGTTAATGGTTATAGAAGCAAGAAATAGGGCAAGAAGAGGACATTATTGTACAAGAATAAGACCCCATTGAATTAAATTCAAAAACATATAAATAATAAAAGTAGGTTTGCATGAAAAATATTATACAAAAGAAAAAAATTATATATATTAAAGAAGTGTCAGAAGAACAAATGATAATGTGAAAAAAAAGAGTAAGTTTCAATTTGAGAAGTGAAAGTTACTGAGAATGTCTCCAACTTTGAACCGATTTTCCTCTGCCCACTGATTGAGAGACTGATTACAAGGTGGAACTTTCCATGGAATTTGATTGCTACCAACAAGGATTTCTCTGTTTGCTTCAGAGAAAACAAATAGGGCAAGCAAACATGGAACCAAAATTCCTACTAAATTAGCCATTATTTAACACCAAAAAAAAAAAGTGTTAACAGTGTATGTCTATGTAATTATCAGTATGTGGTCTTGTAGCCCATAAGGTTTTGCTCCTAAGTATATATAGGCTCTAGGTTTGGTTTAAAAATTAGGTATGGAACTTGGTTCGGAGGTACAGTAGTGGGCTTTCCATGTGATAAAACCTAATAAATTTGGGGGCATTGATGTTCAAAAAAACCTCTTCATTTCCCCAACTAAAATAGCCTTTCGAAAATCTGATTTTGTTTTCAAGCCATTATATGATTAAAGAATAATACCAAATTGGGCATAACATCATAAGCAGGTGGGCGTATTACAGTACACAGTTTTCGCACCCATTAATTTTATAAGAACTTGGGGTTCGGGTCGAGATGCTGTGGAAATTAATCACGATAGTTGGATTAACGAATACCCACTCGTTCTTCATCTAAAAGAATTTTCCTTGCATTTTTTTTTAAATTTTTCAAGGAAAATGATATTCTTTTAATTGCTTCACTAAAAAATAAGAAGATATATAATTACTAATTTACTATGATTTTTTGTACTTTCTCTTATGCACAATATTGTGCTAAATGACAAAAGAATAAGCATTTCACAAGAGAAGAGCATCATGTTAGAGAAAAATAAAATTTCTTAAAACGTGCTTATAGTTCCCTAATTTGCAAATGAGAAATACTATGAATTAATAGCAAGTTTTGCCCTCATTCTATTATAATTTGATAATTTCAAATCTTTAATATCAAATTGCATAATTTGAACTTCAAATTATTAGTTTTTAGGTAAAATTTGTCTAATTTCTTAATTGATATTATATGTAACAGTCAATTGAGTTGACAAGTTGCTTAAAATGTCAAAATGAAGTCATTTTGGCATTCTCGCTATTAGTTATTAAAAAAAAAATTAGAAATATTTTTAACCTCTTTAATCTTATAACTTTTTTAAAACTTTTTTTTCTTATAAAAACTATAAACATTTTATAAATTATATAAAAAAAATTATAAATATTTTTAACTCCCTACTTTTGAAATTTTTTTATATAATTTATAATTTATAAAATTAGGAGAGTCAACCCTTAATTATGCTTATCTTAATATATATTTTTTTATAAGACTCGAAATTATGTATTGTTAATTATTTTTTTATAAAATATTTATAATATCCAATGTGCTTTAAAATGTTTATAATATAAAATCATAATATTTTATAAATTAAAATAAGCATAATTAAGGGTTGACCCCCTAATTTTATAAATTATAAATTATAAAAAAAAGTTTTTAAAAAAAGTTCAAAATTAGGACGGTTAAAAATATTTATAAAATGTTATATATATAAGAAAAAAAAGTTGAAAAAAATTCAAGATTAGGGAGGTTAAATTTTTTTTTAAAAAAGAAAAACATAATTAACGAGTGAAATGTTAAAATAACTTTGTTTTTATATTTTAAGTAACAGATCAACCAAGTTGACCATTACATATAATGACAATTAGAGAAATTTGATCAATTTTGCCCAAAAATCAATAATTCAAGATTCAAATTATACAATTTGATACTAAAAATCTAAAATTGCTAAATTATAATAGAATAATGGTAAAATTTATCATTAAATTGAAATTATTTTATGCTCGCAAAAACAGAGCCTTTAGGGAGCAGAGGAGACCGTCGACCCCAAATATTTTCTCTATTCTCCATTCTCTTTCTCTCTAAATTTCTTTATTCTCCACAGCTCTCATTAACTAGTAATTTCTTTTAAAACAAAACTAGCTTTTTTTTCCTTAACATTTTTTTGGTAATTAGTTTGCGTAGATATTCTAGTTGATTATTATCTTTAAATGTTGTGATTATTTTTTATTTTTTTATTAATTATTTTCAACAAAAAAAAATTACAGTTGTTTTGGCGTGTTGTTTGAGATTGTGTTTGATAATAATAAAGACGCGTTAAGTTTATAAATTTATTTCAATATTTTGTTCATATTGATATTCTTGACTTGTTTATAATTTTTTTCAGAGATTTGCATTGCTAATATGAATTTGGGTAAATGGTTTTTGTGAAAAAAATTATTTGAATTTAAAATAAAATAAAATAAATCCTGAATACACACATATTATATTAATTTTATATAAATTTATTTATTTAAAAAAGAATTATGTTTATTACTCATGAAATATTTTTTTTAGGGGTTAATGAGTGAACTAATAACCCCAATTTGTTTTTAACTCACACACCTAATGAGTGAACTAATAATCTCAATATTTAAAAATATAGAACTAATATGTTAAGATTTGAACCCGTGACCTTTTATTGTAAGAGATCATTATCATCATGCTACAAGCTTTTAGTAATAACCCAATATTGTCACCATGGTTATCTCTTAAATTTTTTTTCAAGAAAAATAAAACTAAAGTCAATCATTTTCAATGGTCCGATGGTGGCCATGATAAACACCTTTTCCATTTATTGAAAAAAAAATATTTTCTATATTCTAGTGCATATATCGATTCATTTGGTTAACTGAATATTTTATCTAATAGTATAGTTATCCATGTCATAGTTTTTGTATATTGAGACTAATTAGGATGGCAATGGGCTGGGTTAAGCCAATCTCTTACCATACTCACTAAAAAATACTGTACTCATTATCCTATCCATTATCCACTAAAAATTATTTATCTATTTCTTTATCCCGCCCGTATCCATTTACCGGTTAATTTTTTTCTTTAAATTGATGACCTTTTTTTTTTCAATTTTTTTTACTAAATTTTTTTTAACTCAAACGATGAAGTTAATTAATATGAAGTAGTTGTTAAAGTAAATTAAGATTTAGGAGTTGGACTATCTTACAAACCATTAATTAATTTATTTTTTATTTTCATACAAAGTTTTTTTCTTAATTAACAGAGGTTTTTTTTTTTTTTTTTTTTGGCAGTTTAAAGATGAGGACATTCTGTTTCCTATGAGAAACTTTCTCATAATCTTTCCTAAGATTTAAATTTTAAATGACAACATGAAAACATGTATATTTACCAATCCAAATAAATGGTGAAGTTTTATTTTGTTGTCAAAATCGTTGGAAATCAACACTAGGCTTGTAATCTTCTATCTTTTGAAGCTTCATCAGAGGCATGCAAGGTGCCAAATCCCAAGGGTCTTTTCTTCAGATTTTGCCTAACTTGCCGATACTTCTGGAATCTGATTTTTATTTTTCTTTTTTTGATACATTTTAACACCAGAATTTTTTTTAAAAAGGAAGAAATTATTGGTCAGGAAGATTCTAAAAGGAAAAACTAGCGTTGCTTTTGGTTTGAAGATTTTGAAAGGCTGCGAATATTATCATCAGTATATGGGCTCGAAGCTTCATCCAGAATAAGTGGATTTGCTCACCCAGCTACACCAATTCACGGTTCAAATATAAGAGGTTCTAAAATAAAATTTTCTATAAACACACTTGATTGATTGGTAGAGATGAGCAATATTTTTTTTAAAAAAAAAATTGTGGTTTTCATTTTCAAATTCTTAAAAACAAAAACTGAAAAAATTTTTTTGTTTTAAATTTTTATCGGAAGAAAATCAAAACCGACAACTAGCAATTATTAAAAATGATTTTTGAAAAATTTTGATAACAAAAAACAAAGGAACATACTTTTTTCCTCCTTTCTTTTGCTTATTTTAAAATTTTACGTTTTAATACTTTTTATGTTAATAGATAAAAGATAGGTATTAATAGAGTAAAAATCTAATACCCATATTCATGAATAAATTATCCATTAACATAAATGGATAATATTATTTTATCCATATTTAGTCCAATACCCATTAAGATATTTTAATAGGATAATTAATGGACGGACTGAATATGATATCCATTTTGTACCCGGTCCACTGTCATGCCTAAGACTAATGTATCTACATCAAATTTGGTGCATTTACGATTTTTTTTTCTTTTGCAGTTTTTTATAAAATTCAATCCTAAGATGATAATGCATGGAACATTTTTAAATATTAACCAAATTTGCTGCATTAACAATTTTTTTTCTTTTGTGGCTTTTATAAAATTCAATCCTAGAATGATAATGCATGGAACATATTTAAATGTTAACAAAACTGACGAATAGAACTTTGATTAATATTTTTAGATCTAGTAGTCTGGATGTTTTGGAACTAATTTTTGTACATTTCGTCACTATTTTTTTCTGATATAATTAAGAAATATCATTTAACATACATTTTCAGATATTCTAAAAATACTCGTTATAAAAATCAAACACTAAATCTCATCTATACATCAACTTTTAATGACCACCTAGTTATTATATTGTGGTTAGAACTTTGATTAACCAAGAGGAGGGCACAAATTGTAAATACAGAAGCTGCAAACAAATTTGAGCACAAAAAACAAAAGCTCAAAACAAAAGGTTCCTGCATGGCCCACACACGGCAAATGCAGCACTGAAGTGTTAAAAGCTGCTTCGACAGTGCCAAAGCAGTTTCTAGACCTGCCACGTATCGAACCCAACGGCTAGTTTTCTCTCTCTCTTTCACTTTCTGTCTATAAAAGAGCCATCATTGATTCAAAGAGACTTATCACTCTCTCTTGTAGCTCACTCTTCTCTATCTGTTTCTCTCTTCTTTTCTCTCCCTCATTTCATACAAAAAAAAAAAAAAAAGACTCTTAATTAGCATATGATATCAGTATTAACAACAATGGCTTCTCACAAAGCTGCTTTGTTATCTTCAGTATTGCTAGTTTCTCTCTTCGTTACCTTCACAGAAGCTAGAGAATTCGTGGTTGGAGGCAAAAATAATTCATGGAAAATCCCTTCCTCTGAATCCGATTCTCTCAATAAATGGGCTGAGGCTTCACGTTTCCGAGTTGGAGACACCCTAGGTACATATGCATAAACGAACATTTCAATTTAAGCCCCCTTTTCATTTGAGGTTTCTCTATTTATCTCAAAATTTTAATTTCTTGTTTGAGTTTCAGTTTCATTTTTAGTCTCCTAACCTTGTTTTGCTTAACCCTTTTTTTTTTTTTTCTCACAGTGTGGACTTATGATCCCAAAAAGGACTCGGTGCTTCAAGTGACTAAAAAGGACTATGAAACCTGCAATACATCAAGTCCACTGGCTACATACAAGGATGGTAACACAAAGGTGAAGCTTGATAAGTCAGGGCCATACTACTTCATAAGTGGAGCTGATGGGCATTGTAAGCAGGGACAAAAGTTAATTATTGTGGTTATGTCTAAGAGAAGCCAGTCAATGGGCATTTCTCCTGCACCTTCTCCGGTTGAATTTGGAGGTCCTGCAGTGGCTCCAACTAGCACTGGTGGTGTGACTTTGAGGGGTGGTTTGGGTTTGATTTTTGGGGTCTTGACAGGAATGATTCTGTTCTGAGAAAATGGCAGAAGGACTTAATTTATTTATTTTAGTTCGTCCGATTATGTAAGATTTTTTAGTTACGCTAGAAAAATATGTCCGTTTTTCTGTTCTTTCAGCCTTTTTGGTTTACTGGGAGGTTTGTGGACCTTGATGAGATATATATAATATGGATAGTCGTCCTCTTTCATTACTAGAACTTGCTTCATTGAAGAGATACACAACCGATATATTACGCTTGCTTGTGTCTGCTTTTCTTCTTCTCTTATATATGAGATGTTCCTTGATTTTAATTTAGAGTAAGATATATGATCAATAACAATCCAGTATTTTGCCCTCTCTCTCATCATGGGGAAAAGCCAAAGAAACCTACTCAATTGGGTTCATCAGAATAAAGTAGTTTGCTGCATAGGCATTGCAATAACACCATGTTCATACTTAGGTATTAATCAAATACCTCTAGAAGTACTTTTAGAAACCAGATAAAAACAAAATTTCCGTCATGGGCCAACAGGGCTGGGAGATATCGGTCATCGATATTCACAGAGATAGAGAGCGAGAACCGCCGGTTGGAGAAAAGGGGACCTCACTTTCTTTTGGTTTTGCAATTCTGTTTTTCAATCTATTGAATCAATTTGGTCAGAAGGGAAAAAAAGATAAAAGAAGAAGATAAAAAGCATTGCAGCCCAAGGAACCTGGTAAATGAAAGTGTTACACAGCATCATCATTCGTATTAGAAACATCTTCTTGTTGAAAACAAGAACAGTACAGGTGTGCCATCACACAGCATCATTCGTATTAGAAACATCTTCTTGTTGAAAACAAGAACAGTACCTTCTTGTTGAAAACAAGAACAGTACAGGTGTGCCATCCATATTTTAGTAAGTAATTTTTAGGATCTTATTGGACAGTTTTGCTATTCTGTTTTCAATCTATTGAATTAATTTGGTCAAAAGGGACAAAAAAAAGAAAAACGAAAGTATCTTATTGGATAGTTTTTCAATTCTGTTTTCAATCTATTGAATTAATTTGGTTAAAAGGGAAGGGAAAAAAAAAAAAAAAAAAAAAAAAAGAGAGAGAGAAGCTTTCCAGCCCAAGGAACCCTGTAAGTGAAAGTGTTACGCAGCATAATTTGTATTAGAAACATCTTCTTGTTGAAAACTAAATTCAAATGGGTTTTTCAGGTCGTACTAAATTTTCGCGGATTTGAAATTTCTATCTGAAAGAAATCAAAGAATATAGTAAAGAGTAATACAAAATTATTTTTAAGACTCCATTCAATAATTTAAGTTTTAGAATTAAGATAGTTTTTTTTTTTTTTCTTTTTATCCTCGGGGCATTCTAAATTCAAAGATTCATCAGACGTACAACGTTCACATAAACTTAGTTCCATTCATCCAAAATAAATTCATAATAATATAAATGAGAATTCAATGATTCTCTGGATCTCAATAACTTTTTGAATCTATAAGAGAATGGACAAATATTTCTCGATAATTATTTAAAAAGTTGTCTGCATAGATAAGAATTTGAATCCAAAATTATTTATTTAACTCGCTAAAATTCATTTAATTAAAGTCACCTCTTTGAATAATTAAGATATGTCTTCAATACCTACCAAAATGATTATTATGAATTTGACCCTACAACATTAACGGGCTTATCTACCCATCAACTTGAACGGACTTGATCTTCTTCGGATTCTGCTATCATTATCATCTTCTATTGCTGGCACATTAGAAGTGAAGAAATCATGTCTTTTTTTTAAGTTCAAACACTAATAATTCTTAAAGAAAGTTTAATTAATACTAAAAAAAGTTAAAACGCTAAATGTCACTTTGAGACAGAGATAAGAAGAAAACGCATGTCACTGGATAAGATCAAAACGAATACCTTGCTATGTGTCGCGCCAGCTTCCCTGGGACTTCCATTGTTCAGAAATTAACAAAATATAAAAATAAAAAAACAATTATGTAGTGAGCTGTCGTCAAAGTATTTTTTTTTTTTAAAAAAAAAAGAATAATCGGTTGCGTGGTATATTGAATTTTTAGTGCAATAGAAACTAAATTTTTTACCAATACTACATTACAAATCAGACAAAATATATAAAATTATTTTATTTTAACATCTCGTGTTATATTATGGGTCTATCAAAATACATCGGATAAAAATAAATAAAGATTCATTCAATTTTATAATTTTTTAATCAAAATTTTATATTTGACTAACTATTCTTTATATCTTTTATAAATTTTTGATTAAAAAATATTATTTATTTATCTCTATCCACAAACTAAATTTTTTTAATAGTATAAAGAATATCAAAACTAATGGATTCTTAGCTAAAAAATTATTTTGTAATTGTTTTTAAACATTTTTTACCTTAAGTTTTTTTATTAAAAAAAAAATCAGAGAAAAAAGAACCAAAAAAAAAAAAACAAAGAAAAAAGGACCAAAGTGATCAAAATAAAAAAAAAGGGTCAAAACCAAAAAAGAAATATTTGAGGATTGAAAAGACAATATTTAAAAAGGGGACTAAAGTGTAATGTTACAAAAACTTTCCTTAAATTTTTTGATTAAAAAGAATTAGAGAAAAAAGGATCAAATTAAAATAAATCAAAGAAAAAAGGACCAAAATAAAACAAAACAAAGGGACCAATAGCAAACAAAAAATATTTACGAATTGAAAAAATAATATTTGAAAAAGAGGAACTAAAGTGTAATTTTACGAAAACTTTCATAATAAATATTTAAAAAAATATTTGAAAACTACAAAAAAGCCAATGCGTAGTGAAAGGAATAGTGCATATGATTGTGTGTGTGTGTGAACAATGTTTCAAATAGTGGATGAATAATAATCTAACATTTTACTTTAGTTTTATGTACTAGATTTTTTACACACGCTCTCGTTGCGAGTCAAACAAAATAAATAAAATTATTTTAAAAAATTATTTTATTTTGATGATCCACGTTATATTGTGTGTCTACCAAAATATATAAAATTTTATATTTGATTATTATTCTTTATATTTTTCATAAAAATTTTATCAAAAAAATTATTTAATGGTATAAAGAATGTCAAAACCAATGGATTCTTAGCTAAAATTTTATTTTTTAATTTTCTTAAAACATTTTTTTACCTTAAAATTTTTGATTAAAAAAATAAAAGAAAAAATAACTAAAGTAACTAAAATGAAACAAAAAAGAGGGACCGAAACCAAACAAAAAATATTTAAGGATTGAAAAACCATATTTAAAAAAGAGGGACCAAAATACAATGTCACGAAAACTTTCATAATAAATGTATTAAAAATATTTAGAAACTATAAAAATGCCACCGCATAGTAGTGAAAGGAATAGTGCATCCGAGTTTAGGTGAATAGTATTTCAAATAGTAAATAAATATATATATTGAGTGAAATCGTTTAATATATATATATATATATATATATTAGCAAAATATTTAATAATATTAGCATAAAAATTTGAATAACTGGAAGGTTCTTTCAAAACATTATCTAACTTATTTTATTTAAAAAAATAAAATTTATAATATGAAAAAATAAAAAATAAAAAAATTGATATTACGTGTGTAGATATATAGTTAATTTCTAATAAAACTAATGATATATATATATATATATATATATTCGGAGTATATATCAAAAAATTATTGTATACATTATGATAAAATTATGTCAAAAAATTAATTTGATGAGAATTTTAATAAGAAACAAATAATTGAAGAAATAAATTTTAAACAATAATAGTAATATAATCAAATATATATGTTCAAATTAAAATCTTAAAAAATATCATATATATTTTATCATCTTCAAATTGTATAAAACTAAAAAAAATAACGATTTATTTTCTATATTTTTACACATAATTTCTTGATAATATATTTATATAGGCTTGATAAGGTTTAACGAGGTGTTTTGGCATAAAATAGGTATGAGACTAATTTCCCTTCATGCTATATCTATAACATTCATTTTCAGAATACCGACTTGATATATATATATACATATAGTTTATCCACTTCTCATGATGAGATGTATTATTATAGTCGTCATAATTATAACAATAATTATTTCGACATGTCATCACGAATATAACGATAATTATTCCGACTTGACTTAGCTATGCCCACGTCTTTGTCTATGCTTCAAATTATTATAAGTCGTCACATTTACTTCGGAGAATGAAGTAGATCCAATTGGGCAAGATTTATGATTTTTCATCAATAGCTCATTATTTTTCATCAATAGCATAAAATTAATTTAGGATATTTCTAAAAAACATTTATCGATATTGCTATTGTAATAGCATATTCGAGCTATAAAAAATAGAGATTTTTTTCTCGGCATCAAGCATCCATGATCAATAATTCTTACTCGAAATGCCAAGAGCCACAAAGTCAAGCTTTGTGAGGTTTGATATGATAAAAATTTTATAATAGAAGCTATAATAATAATGTTGGAAAACAAGAAGAAAAACAATAATAAATTTTAAGCTTTTCAAACAACATATATTAGATCATTATATTCTATTTATTAAATCAATCAAAATTTTCAAATGTCTACTTGACATATCATTAGATTTAAAAGAAATGATAAATCGGATACATACCTCTCAATAGTCTAGATAATTTAGATCTTTTGGTAGATAACTCGTGTAGAAAACCACTCCAATAATTGAAACAAATAATTGAGTCTTTTAGTAGATACATATCTTAATTGGTTAGAGTTTCGTGCTGATAACATGTTATAATATAAACGATAACAATAATAGAATTGGAGAGAAAAATGATGGAGAAATAATTTCATTATGAAAGAAAGTGAATACAAATGATAAGAACTTTAAACAATTCTCTCAATCTCTACAAAATATATCATTCAATTAATGAACAATTAATCCTATTTATAGGTTTTAGGATTAGGAAGAGAATTGGAAAGGGCTAAACAAAGTTCATGAAAAGTTGTACCAACCTTTCAATTCTTATGCCATCATAT